CGGCCCAGCCCGCCCCTGCCCAGACTCGTCAGCGGTCCTGGGAGAAGAGCAGTGAAAGTCGCGCTCCTTCCTCCTGACATCATCAGGAGAGGTCGGCCGACTTCTTTGGCTGCAGGCTGCAGGGAGAGAGGTAATTTCAAAAATCCAAGTCTCCAGCCAGAGGCAGTGACATAGCCAGAGGCAGGGCCAGAGCCAGAAGCAGGGGATTCGGATTTTTGCGCCCTACTGCTCTGGCGCCCTAAGCCTGATGGACACGCTGCCCCTGGCTATGCATCTTGTTTGCAGCAGGTCATGACAGCAATATGGGTGCTCTACTACCGTAAGTACTTAAAGGACCACTCTAGGCACCCAGAACACTTCAGCTTAATGAAGTGGTCTGGGTGCCTGGTCCTCTAGGATTAACCCTTTTTTTTATAAACATAGCAGATCTCAGAGAAACTGCTATGTTTATTATAGGGTTAATCCAGTAAATCACAGCGAGAAGACGCCAGCGTCCATAGGAAAGCATTATCAATGCTTTCCTATGAGACTGGCTGAATGCGCGCGCAGCTCCTGCCGCGCATGCGCATTCAGCCGAAGAGGAGGAGAGGAGGAGGAGAGCTTCCCGCCCAGCACTGGAAAAAAGGTAAGATTTAACCCTTTCCTCTCTATCCAGCCTGGCGGGAGTGGGACCCTGAGGGTGGGGGCACCCTCAGGGCACTATAGTGCCAGGAAAACAAGTATGTTTTCCTGGCACTATAGTGGTCCTTTAAGCTGCTTGCAATGAAGGGGTTGAATTATTTTGATATTGGAGAAGCCTTTATAAGTTGCAATTTCAGGTGAAATTGGGGAAGACACTATTTCAAACAGCTGAGAGTCTGTAAATGTTGACAATAAACCTGATTTTCAATGCGGGTTGCATAATTTTGATTGCAACTGTATTAAGTCATGTAGCATAGTTATAGCTATGCCACAGACCACTAGGCCTCTTGTAAATAGCCAAGTTGCATTTATTAAAATACTTGTTATTCTCAATAGTACCGCTTACAGCTATAAATTACTGTATATCAGCAAATATACGAGAACACTCTAATAACATTAGTCAAATCAGTTCATTGATTACCTTTGTGTTTATCTGATCCGTTATGCCCATTTATACAATATACTGTAAATGTTTTGGTATTTTTCGGCCAGCAATATGGGGATTTGAGCATGAGAGGTACATTTGCAGCAAAGTTCTAAAAGTGGAACAGACAGTAAGAATGTTCCATTTGTTCCTATTGCAATTGCTACTTATTTAGAACTTTGCCCCTGCATAAAATATGCTGTCACACACCCTACAGAGCTCTTAAAGTGGCCTGTAACATCCTTAAACAAGAGTTCTAATTGAAGGACAAAGGGGTTAATCTTGGCACAGAGGCAGGAAGTCTTACCGCTACCCATTGAGCAGAGGCTGACATAAATAGCTGGAGATATTGAAACTAGTTATTTTAAAATGACTTCCAACTGTCTGACCTATTTCTAAGGATAATAGGCAGTCTCACAAAATGCATCCCTACTAAATCATCAGAGGTTTTCTAATTAGCTAGGATTAAAAAAAATACCTGTTCGGCGACCTAAATATACAAATTTATTAAGTGAGTTTGGTTGAAGTTATAATAACAATACCAAAGAACTTAATCAGGAAAGTTACACTTACATTTAATTTCTACAATTGTAAAGTGCTGCTGAATATAATGACTCTATATGATGTATATAAATAATAATAATATAAATTTTATGGACCTTGGAAGAATGACCAGTTGTGTTGACCACGAATTACGTCTGTGACACTGAGATACAGCATTTGAAGCCCTACACTCCGAACTATCTCATCAGCAATGTTTAAAATTTTATTTAAAAATCAAGGAATGCACACCAACTGATACCACAGTATCTATCCATATATATATTTATTAATACAATACAAGTATAAACAATATGTACAATATACAACAGTGACCACATAGGCTAAACAACTATACAAGTATAGTTACCAAATTCCACAAGCCTATCTGGGCAGAAACACGAATCAAAAACAATCCCCCAACGTTTCGGCTCCTCCTGGTAGCCTTTATCAAAATAGATAAAGGCTACCAGGAGGAGCCGAAACGTTGGGGGATTGTTTTTGATTCGTAGTGGCCGCACGTTTGTAGTGGCCAACGCGCTGATTGTCTGTTGGAATGTCTGACTGACAGCCATTAGATGCATTCTGACTGAAAATGTACACGTTGCCCATTCTCGAAAATGACAGTGTTTACATTTTTCAGTCAATTTTTGGTCAATGAACCACAACACTTGCATTAGGATATAGTGATTTTCATGCCTAGGTTTTCTGAAACTCCACTACGGAAAGTCAAAAGTTCTCCTTAAAAGGTGTCTTACTTGCAGAGGATTTGTGGGGGTCTGGCTACAACTTTGGTTCTGTCCTCCCCCACTCTGTCAAGACACCCCAAGTTGCTGCACCTTTTCAGTTTTTCTAAACAAATACCCCTTTGACACCCTTACTACACTTAAAATAGTGTTTATATTACCTATACCATTTCCTGCCCATTTAAGAGCAGGAATCCTCAGCTAAATCATGAATTTCTTGTTTCTGCAATAAAAGTGACCAGTCGCTTTTTAATTCCCCATCTTTTTCATGTTCTGACAGAATATAACACATTTCATGCACTTTTAATGTTAAGGGAGAAACGTCTCCCATTAGACTGATTCCCGGGCTATTAACCTGTCTTTCTTATTGCACTTTTCATACCGAAGCATTTTAAGTTTGCAGTTTCCCGTAAATGTTTTATCCTTCAGGCTTGATAAAGTAATTTTAGTTTTATAAACAAAACATCCCGTTTAATGTGTTTAATGAATTATTCATGGACTGAGAGTTTTTAGATTCACTTAAAGCACAAATGTGTTTTAAATCACTTAATCCCAACTCACACATGCAGGGTGACTGCAGTCCAAGAAATGGACTGTTAATACTAAATTGAGAGCCCTTCAGTTTTTAGCAAACAGCTTTAATAAAAACATTGGACATTTGTGCCGTGATCTGTAAAATTGAAAGCAAGCATTACACTTCACTGCACATACATTTTGGGACAGGTGTACTCGCTTTAATTTATTTTTGCTGGAGATGACAGAATTCATTTTTTTGGCCTACAGATAACACGAAAAAAAACATTTTTCTGAGCGCTGCTTTATATGACAGTTTATGATGATGGTGAGAATACCTGGTAGGATGTATAGAAAATTAATATATTGTCCATGCAAAAAACAGCAGGGTGGACAACACCTACAGCACCCTGTAGTGGTTATGGTGCTTGAAATTTTCCTTTCATTTGCCAACAGTCTTTACGAGGCTGCGAGAAAATTCATGTAGGCTTAAATGAAGTAGTTATGGTGCCAGAAGGTCCTCGGCCGCACGTTTGTCTTAAAGGGTTAACCCATTCTCGAATGGTTTAACCTTAAAGGCTGGCTCCAGCGATGATCTACAGGTCCCCCATGTGGCATCTGGCTTCTGAATCTGACGGGAAATGCGGTGTCGCCAGGCAGGGGTGCTGTTGCTTGGCTTGAGCAGTCAACTGACCATCAGTAGCCCCCATTCATGAAAAAGGTACATCAGCTGACACTCACAGCCACCCATTGCTGTTCATGCTAATGCTTCCTCATTAGCCCAATCAGCACTGAGGGGGATGGGTTGCTGGGGACTCTTGTTTAGAATTAAAACATTGAAAGTGGTTAAATATTGAATGAAAGGACAACGCCATGGAACTCCACACACTACTACCACTTCAGTTAGATATAGCAGTTATGGTGCCAACAATGTCTCTTTGAGACCTTTGGTTTTTGAAGGTCTTTACATTTGGTGTCATCAAGCACAACAGGATGAGCCGGAACACAGCTAGTGCTTCTGATAGAAAAGCTATGGATTAGAAAAGCAATTTCTGCACATGTGTAGATCCACACTGCGGCTCTATGAGAAGAATTTGTTTGAATCAGAGATCACCAGGATCAAAGGCGTAACCAGAAACCACGGCCTCCTGCCCACAGACTATGGGCCCTGCTGGGAAACCTGTAAAAGACTAGTTAAATAACTTGGTTCGTGCCCTTTCTCTATTCTATAACCGAACAGGCGCACGAACCATGGGCTTGTTAAGCCTAACTGATAGTTTGTAACACATTCCACCGCAGTGTTCTAATTGTTCGTCTGGGTGGCCGCTGTTCGCATGAACGACCACGAGGTGTCAGTCATCTTGTTTGCATAAACGCAAGCAATGGTGTTTGGTCATCGAGTTCATGGAACTGAAAACAGACACTGAAACTCCCGAACACCGCTGGACTTCCATGATCACCTGCGTTCGGTTCTACACCACTTAGAAGGGCACTGTTCGGCGGAAAAGTTCCCACGAACAAGGTGAACAAGTTCCAGTGTAAGACTATTGACTTTTTAAACAACCGAACTAGACTGACCGCTAGCCATGATTTCATGGAACTGTTTTGGGCATAGCACCATGTGCACGGTCGTTCAAATTATGACTTTGAGGAAAATCTCAAGCCCCTGAACCGATCTTTGTGATGTTGGTCACTGTAAAAATGTAGATGAATGGATGTTCATGTAGACTCTTTCTTAATTTCTTCTTGTCTTCAGTTGATTGATATATATACGTCTTTTGTATATATATTCTTGGGCCAAATGCTCGCCACAATAATATATGTCTATATTATTGAAAAGTAGTAATACGCAATCTGACTTACGGTTTCTTCAGGTTTATTCTTAGTTACGGATACATAAAACATAATATAGGATGTTACAGGATAATGGACATTCAACAGCAGATGGTAATTGCTGGACTTCTGATGGGAGAGTTACATCGTTGTACAGAGCCAAGCCAAGAGTGAGACCGACCTCGTGTCCCTCTGTTACTATATAGATGTGCTAATACTAACGTCAGCATATAACTCTAGCCATATAAGGACAAGACCCCCGAATCCACATTCCAGAGCTCTCGGACAAAGAAAGCCTTGTGACTTATTGATACCATCTGTTACTTATGTCAATCCACACATCCATATATATAATCAATAGAAACATAGAATATGCAATATTCTACATTCCCTCTGTTTATGGTTTGTTTTAAAACCATAACACAATGTATATAACCTGTCCATTCATACATCACTTGTATCACATTCATTGAGCATAGAACAAGATGTAGTCACAATTTTCTATTATATGAGAGTTCTTAGAAGGTCGAGTTTCTATCCCTCATAATGCTTACTTTACTTCAAATTCCCTCTGTTTCAGCTATGTATTGATATCCATATGCATGTTACATCATAACTACTTGAACATAATATTTACATATAACAATAATAAATGAATAAAATACAATATTTACAAATGTTGATCCAATAAACAATGTAAAGCAATGAGAAAGATCTACCTGCTCTGGTACAGTCGTATCTTTGTAGATAACAAAATCCAAGATCGTAACTTTCTAAATAATAATAACTGTGTATCACTATCATATTCCTACAGACACATATAGCATAGTATTTTCATTCTCAATACCTGATATTATTTAAGTACTAATACATGTATTACTATAATATCCTGTCCAATTATATTTTCATGAATCGTATGGTTTCTAGCAACTTAAAATCTTTATCATTTGTATTCATGAATTACATTTCTATACCATTAATACCACCTAGTGATGATTGTATCAGTACTTTACAATCATAGTATTTAATTTGTATATTCAGTAGGCTCTCACTACCTGAAATATACCAACACTACTTATAAGTCTCATTCAAAGGATGTGTTATCAACCATGAAGTCTTATAATAATTCTTCAAATAATGTTCATGGTGTTGACAATACTTATTGTCCTAGAAATTCTCCACCCAGAAATCTTTCTAACATAGATTTGTTTTTGTTTACATAATTATAATTTTCACTAAAATTCCACCTTGTAGTAACAAACTTTAAATTCAATAGAAACATAGTTTACTTTAAAAGAACTTGGAAAGAATAATTTAAATTCATTAGCATCAATCTCTTCATTAGCATTGTGATGACTTATTAATGTAATACATCTTAAAAGCAGGATTGTCCTAATGTTCTGACCAATCCTTATTCCTTAGTACACTTCAACTGACTAAAGTAAAATAAAATAAACAAAACTTGGGGTCATACTGCCCAGAAACTCTTATTCCTAGTCCGTGTCTAACAAACTCATAACATCTTATAACAACGTATTCATTGGATACCATCATATCCAGAAACCTATTCTCCCTAGTCCATACCTTTATAGACTTAGGTCAAATATAATTGTGTACTATTCTCTTTCCATTAAATTCAATTCCTCTTGGATCTCTGAACTCTTATATCCAAGGCATTCTTAATGTATAACATTACTTAATATAAATCAATATAAATTATTCTTCCTTAGTTTTCTTCCTTATGTTACCATTGTTTGTTTTACTTCACCTCGATATAAACAAATTACTCATTATAGTTAATCTGTGAAATACTATTGAACTCAATCTTTGTAGTATTAAGTAACCATGATCCTTATTTTATCAACTTCATATTTTATCTACTTCTGATACTTCTCATTCTATGTATAGGTCATAATGTAATAGTTCTCTCCATAATACTGTCCTTTCATAATTTTACTCCATGTGTTATATTTATAAGTACTCTCTTTTGGTATTAATACTCATAACTGTTAAATAACTTTTCATTGTCTGTTTTCTTCTTCATTAATATTTAGGAATTTATATTAGTGTCAATCTTTTATTTCTTTGTAAGTCTGTTAATCTTCTGTATCGAATGAACTCTGTAGAATCTTCCATCACAGTTTGCAGATCAGATGAAAAGTCTCTTTCCAACAGTCGATGTCCAGTTGTCTGAAGGAATGCTTTCCTGATTTATTGCCACATGGATCTGTCACGCTTTACCTACATTAAAACAAATAACATGTGCAGCATCAATACAATGGCTTACAATGTTTATATCTCATTATTATTACACAGTTTAACATTGAATTATATTGACTACACAAAACATACTAATTTCTTCTCATGAGATCTACCATCTAGTGGTCATTACATTTATGCCATGTGATGTATAATCTTTCTGAACATTTTAATTTTCCAAACTTTTTATTACTCATACCTTATTAATCATACCCCCCTTTTAAACTGTTTAATAATCTGGAGGTATAACCTAATCACATATCAGATGTTACAACAAAATATTGTTTTCCACTATACTTTAGCTATAGTAGCCATTTTGTCTTAACACTGGCACCATTTTGTCACATGAAACAAACTACAAAAACATATATTGTTTCCTTCATCAAATGTATTTGTAAATCTAGGTTTTATTCTATCAAAACTTGTGTCTTCTATGTAGTCAAAATATATGTATGTCCAGGCTTTGCAAAATATAGTAATCCATTATCAGTCATGACATTAAAATCTCATTCTCATGAATTAAATCAAAGATTTTAAATCAACCTCAGAAGCAACAAAGAATAAATCCATTGTTTTTTCTTCTGTAAAATGATTGGAGTTACTGTATAATCGCACACACCCAATATAACATTGCATGTTCCTAACTGCTACATTAGTGTATTTCATTCTGTCATATTTGCAAACTTGATGTAAATTTTTATTTCAATTAATTAACCTAATACTTTCTTATAACACACATAAAACAATGAAAAAACAGTACAGACTAACAATTCATTAAAACAAACTAACATAGATCTCTATTCTTGTGCTGTTCTTAATTCTGGAATCAGCCTGTGTACATCTGTTGGCACTCATATCCATGCTCATTCCCTAAACTGATCATATCTCGTGAAGTTATCTGATTCTTATAACTTTCTGTCTTACACTGCATTGCTTGTCTGTCTCCTAATTTCGATTTAGCTAAAATTGCTTTTATTTGTCTGATTATCAGTTTACAAGGAAAGGCTTTAATTGATTTATCTCCATTTTCTCTGTCAAAATTTTCAATCAACAAATTTAATTTCTCATTTGCTTTTGATTTGATATCTCGGATAAAATATCTGCAAGATCTTAAATAATGTTGTTTATTGCACCAAAAACAAATAACTTTAGGAGTTATATTTTGCCCTATATTATCAACTCTACAGTTTTTAGTTGAATAAATTGGGAGGGGCTCAGCTGTCTGTATCACTCTACACTCCGTCCTAGAAGAAGAAGAAGGAGGGGGACGGGGGCTGTAACATCTGCACTTCTTTCTCTGCCTAAATCCACAAGTCATTGTAACCCCTTCATTATTGGTTTCCCTCCTTAAGTTATCCAAGAACAAAGCTACTTCTGTCAAAGTGCTTTTTTCTCTTGCTAACACAATTGCAGTTGGATCTAGATCTTGAAATTTTTTCACAAATTCATTAATTAACTGATCTTCAGAAAAATCAGCAACAAGTCTATATGCACTTTCAAATTTTGCAAGAAAACTAAATATATCCTCCCCCTTGTGTGGTTTTAGTTTTTCCAACATTTCAGTGTCTGCAAAATCATTCCCTGTTGTTAATTTTATTAATTGTGTTAATCTGTCTTGCTTATTTCCATATATTATTTCATCATTGTCCTCGAATTTTACAAGCGTGGTCAGCCTACATGCCATTTGAGTCGGCAGCCATATTTGAAATAGTCTATTCCTTTGTTCGTCATTTAGGCTGTATTTGTCCACATTTGACTCAAACATTTCAGCATTAGTAAATGCATCCACTGACGTGTCATAAACTGGAATACATTTCACAATTTTCATTAATTGTTCATGTATTTTCAAATTAAGTTTTGCAGTTCTGTTTTGGAATTTACATTTCTGCAAATCACTCTGTGAGGATACATTTTCAGTATCTGTTAGTTCTGGGATTAGATTCTGTGCCTGTATTTTTCTTGTATTAACACACACTAGTTTAGCTTCATTTCCAAGCTGGCAAATAAGATCATTTCTTAATTCAACTCTATCCTCTAATTCACAGACTGTTTCTGACAATGTTCTCTCTGTTACATTGTTACACTGTTCATTTAAATCTGATTTGTCTTCTGTTAACCCATTCAAATCTACTTCTTTTTCTGATGATTCTAAATTTTCTTGACCTGCATCTCGTTTACAAATCAATGCATTGTAAGTACAGACTAGTTTCATAACATTTCTGATCTTTTGTTTTTTCTTATTAACAAACAATTTCTTGGCAATTTCAGTATTGGCAATTTCACATTGTGTGTATAAAGATTGCCACAACACAGCATCTGAATAGCTGCTATTACATGCAAACTGCAATTTACTTTTCTCTGCAACATCATTTATGAATTCCATGTTACTCACCAGATCAGTTATTTCTGTCTATTTCGTTGCTTCATCCACACAGCTGCGCAGTTCTTTGCTTGGACGCTTGCCAATGTCTGCCACGTGCTTGCTTCTAGAATTCACGTTGTATCTTGTGCTTTTGTCTCAGTTGTAGAAAATAGTCTTGTACAGTCTTTGATTTGAAAACTTTCTTTTTCTTACAAACACAGTCTAGATTCTTTTTTTTCTCTTCAAGTTTGTTTTCCCAGTTCCAAAATAGCTTTGTAACTCGATTCTTCTCTCTCCCCCCTTGAAGTGGGAACAAAACTTTGAATAGAAGACTGGCTGGCTAGCCAATGTAAAAAATGTAGATGAATGGATGTTCATGTAGACTCTTTCTTAATTTCTTCTTGTCTTCAGTTGATTGATATATATACGTCTTTTGTATATATATTCTTGGGCCAAATGCTCGCCACAATAATATATGTCTATATTATTGAAAAGTAGTAATACGCAATCTGACTTACGGTTTCTTCAGGTTTATTCTTTGTTACGGATACATAAAACATAATATAGGATGTTACAGGATAATGGACATTCAACAGCAGATGGTAATTGCTGGACTTCTGATGGGAGAGTTACATCGTTGTACAGAGCCAAGCCAAGAGTGAGACCGACCTCGTGTCCCTCTGTTACTATATAGATGTGCTAATACTAACGTCAGCATATAACTCTAGCCATATAAGGACAAGACCCCCGAATCCACATTCCAGAGCTCTCGGACAAAGAAAGCCTTGTGACTTATTGATACCATCTGTTACTTATGTCAATCCACACATCCATACATATAATCAATAGAAACATAGAATATGCAATATTCTACAGTCACCCAGATTGGGGCTATCAGGAGATGTAACTTTTGTGGGGTTTTATGTATTTTTTTATTTTTTTTAATTCTTTATTTTTCGTGCATAGATATATAGATAACATTGATACTAGCAATGCCACAACAGCGATTGCCAAAGTTTTTAGTAACAGGGAATTACAGATGCATGGCATGAGAAACTGTGCACATTTTTTAAGGTTAAAGATGAGGAACAATAGCATAGTAGCTTATATGTAGTACGATTCATATGTCTTAGTAACATAGTATTAGGATTTACTGATTAGTAAGATAGCAGTGGTAACAGTATACTATGTAAAGCAGGCTGGTATTTTAGGTTACATGCCTATATAACGTATTAGGATAAAAGAAAGAAAAAATAAACACATCAATTT